AAGGTTGTTGAGCTGGACACTGGTTGCTCGGATTTCTCTCGGTCGAGTCGCATCGCGTACTTCTGTACCGCACGACGTGCTGCCAATATCTCAGCTCAGCACGGAGTCCAAAAACCACCGTGGGTTCAGTCAGAGGTGCGTCGAGAAGGCAGGATCAAGTCGGATTGCGGAGAACACCAAGAATTTTCACAACCTCAGGCGCCCCCAGAGCCTGCGCAAGGATGTTCGACTTCAGACACCGAGGGCACCGAGCGGTCTTGCGAGAGACATCGTGTGCTGTGCCAGGCAATTGGGATCAGTTTTACAACCAAAGCGGTCTACGCCAGAGGCTGTGCGTGGGTTACTCCTGGACACGACGAGGACCTTGGACGCATATGGGTTGACCTACGCGGAGGCCCTTTAGCTGGGCAGGCACGAGCACGAGGATTAGGCATACAATGATGATGCCGATTATGCTGATGATGCTGATGATGCTGATGATGCTGATGATGCTGATGATGATGGTGACGATGACGATGATGCTGATGATGATGATCATGGTGATGGTGGTGATGATGATGATGATGATGATGATGATGATGATGATGGTTCGGATTCTGAGTCTGATTGGGTCGGGGACGGGGAGCATTGGTGTTGCTGCCCCCGTGCGTGTTGATCGGCAAGCTCGTGCTGATCATTCCAACATGCTCTGGCTTCCGAGGTTCTGCAGTATGTATGTGGCGTTTGACCCTCATCCGACTCCAGCCTTGCGCTGGTCCAGCGTCATGGCAGGTTAATTACGTCCAGGCTTCTTGGGACTGCACCTCCGCTGGCCCTCTAGCACCTTGTGTGTTGGCTCCACCCAGTCCGTTTTTCTGACTCACTGAGGCGGCTTCGACATCGTGGGTGTCAGCGGCTTGTACCTCCAAATCCACCAGGGCCACCCTTGTCGTGGCCGTCGGGCTGCTGTGGATCAGCTCTCGACATCGTGGGTGTCAGCGGCTTGTACCTCCAGCTCCACCGGGGCCACCCTTGTCGTGGCCGTCTGGCTGCTGTGGATAAGGTCTGGACATCGTGCGTGTCAGCGGCTTGTACCTCCAGCTCCACCGGGGCCACCCTTGTCGTGGCCGTCGGGCTGCTGTGGATAAGGTCTCGACATCGTGGGTGTCAGCGGCTTGTACCTCCAGCTCCACCGGGGGCCACCCTTGTCGTGGCCGTCTGGCTGCTGTGGATAAGGTCTCGACATCGTGCGTGTCAGCGGCTTGTACCTCCAGCTCCACCAGGGCCACCCTTGTCGTGGCCGCCGGGCTGCTGTGGATCCGCTCCTCTGTCGTGGCGCTGCGGCCCGACGACCGCCCCCCCGTCGGGTCGGTCGGGCTCGCGGGGGTTAGGTAGCTGGCGCTCGGCGTTGGCAAGCCGATGTGAGGTAGACGCGGGCGATGGTTTCAAGGAGCGGACGAGAGGGGGGGGGGATGTTTGCAACAGTGCATCCTAGGGGAGAGACCCCACCTGCTTGAGACAGGCGCCCCCAAAAACAGCCAGGATCTACTCCCTGAGGGGGGGAGGGGGCGCGAGGACCCGCGCCGATCGGCAAGACAATGAATAGATATACGCTCCGACTTCAACGTTTTTCTGCTCGCTCGCTCCGCCCTGCTCTCCTATCCTCAGCCTCCTCGTTCCTCCTCCCCCCTTCCTTGTCCCCCTCACTTTGACTACTCCCTCCCTCCCTCCCCCCTCCCCTCCCTCGGCGCCTCGAGGTCTCGAGGCAGTCTCTGTCCTGCAGCCTCCTCCTCCTCCGAGTCGTCGTCGCCATCTTGGGCCCTCCAGGAACACCCGTAGAAACATCTCCCCCCGCGCGAGGCCCCACAGCACACCGCAGTCGCGCGCCACAACTTCGACGCCCTGAGCTACATCGCCCACGGCCTCGACCTGGCCGCCAACAGAGCGAGGGCTCGACGCCCCTCCCCTCCCCAGAGGCAGAGGAGGATCGAGGGCGAGGCGTCTTCGACTGTTATGTGCTGCTCTTGCTGAAAGCCTCTTGGATGAAGTCGGGCGTGCCCCTCTACAGGATGAACATTCGAAAATACGCCAAAAATAGTATGGGGGCGATTGTTTGCGTATGTCTGGGCATGTTAAGATATTTGTGGCTGTGTTTTTTCCTCCAACATCCGCCTGTAGGGGGACATGTCCGACCTGACTCTTGGAGGCCTCTCCCTGTGCACGGCCAGATCAGGGCCCGCTTCGACGTCTTGGCCGGCTCACCCGCTTCCTGCCCGCCTCACGGGGCGAGGCACGGGCGCAGAAGCCAGGACGAGGCAGGCGGGTTCGCGCCGACGTTCGGGCCGCAGGGCGCGCTGCCTGCCAGCCACAGGGAGGGAGGCAGGGAGAGGGAGCCGAGAGGCAGGGTGAGGCACGAGGACAGGGGGATCCTGGAGTAAGGGGGTCCGGGAGGCAGTTCGCCGTCTCCACGCTCCCTGATCCCACTGCAGTTTAGATGTGTGCGCTGGTCAAACAGCGTCGGCGGATTGAGCTCAAGTTGGAGATGCTGCGCGCGGCGTTTCCGGGGCACGCGCACGTTCGGCCAGATCTGGGTCCCTAGAGGCGCCCTAAACCTTTGTGTTTGCCGCTTGCGCCTCTGCGAACAGCGCCGCCGTCGAGAATCTAGGCCCGCACGCACATATATACACATACATATATATATATATATGTGTAATATACAGATGCACGAATATACACACGCCTGAATGCACATGTTATATATACACGCATACACATGTCTACACACATGTTGATTGCCATGTAGCGACATGTATGTACGTCCGTATGTATGTATGCTTGTTGTTTGATTGCATGTGTGTCTGGATGGATGAATATGGATGTGTGCATGTATGTACGTTTGTATGTGCGTGTATGTATTCATGTATCATTGTGTATGAAAAGGGCGTACGCGTGCTAGTATGCGTGTGTGCACATATGTGAGTAAACGTGTCAATGTATGTAGACAAGTGTGTACACATGTATGTTTGGATGTACACCTATGTCTATAGTCACATATAAAGGTGAATCTATACACATGTATCACTGTGTGTACTTCATTTCTGTTATATATCATATACATGTGTATCCAATGGGCTTCGACCCACTCCGCCACTGTGACTGGCTTGTCGAACGGAGGCCTCTCGGATGTTAGCCGGGATCCCATCAAGGCCTACCGAGGGCCTACTGGCGGCAGTTTTGAGGCCTCAGGGGGGTTGTCTTGGGGCTCCTTGGGGCCTCTTCTGGGCCTCTTGGGGGCCTCTTGGGGCCCACCGGGTGCTTCTTGGGGCGGACGTCTAGGATTATCGATTCGTGCTCTCCCTCTGGGGGTCCTCTTGGGCCCCTCTTAGGCTCCCCTTAGGGCCCTCTTGGGCCATCTTGGGTGCCTCTTGGGCCGTCTTTGGGCTCTGGGAGCGATCGTTCAGTGGTTTTGGGTCCTTCTGGATCTTTTTTTTGAATGCCTCTCGGGACCCTAATGGGCCCGTCTTGGTGTCCTCTTAAACTTTGGCCCCAAGAAGTCGTGCGACAAGACGCGGGGAACCGCGACACGCCGCGATACAGTTGGCAATTGGGGCTCCGGGTCCCTTCAAGACCCTTCAGGAGTGAGGATTGAGGCTTAGAGGACTGGGCACAGGATCTGAGGACACGCCCACTCCGTGCCCAGCAGCACGGTGTCGGATATGGGGACTGGGGTGAGAGCACGGCCATGCGCAGCTTAGTGGTGAGCCCGACGTTTTTTGCCAATTTTTGGTTTGGGCCCCCTTGAAGAACCTCCAGGAATGAGGACGGGGAGCCCGCGAGGCCCTATAAGGAACCTGAGCATACTCAAGGGACCCGATGATGATGATGATGATGATGATGATGATGATGATGATGATGATGATGATGATGATGATGATGATGATGATGATGATGATGATGATGATGATGATAATGATGACGATGACGATGACGATGACGATGATGATGATGCTGATGATGAGGATGAGGATGAGGATGAGGATGATGATGATGATGACGATGATGATACTGAGGATGATGGTGATGATGATGACAATGGTGCTAATGATGATGCTGACGATCATGGTGATGATGGTGATGTTAGTGATGCTGACGATGATGATGCTGATGCTGATGCTGATGTTGATGATCATGATGATGAGGAACATGATGACTATGACGATGACGATGACGGATACGATGACGACGATGATGATGTTGATGATGATGATGATTATGATGAGCATGATGATGGTGCTGATGTCGATGATGATGACGATGATGATGCTGATGGTAATGGCCATGGTGATTGTGATGGTGATGGTTATGAGGTAGTTTGCGGTACTGGTGGTGAAGATGTCGAGGGTGATGGTGTTGATGATGGTGATGATAGAGATGGTGATGGCGATGATGATGGCGGCAGCGCCGGCGATGACGACCACCACTCTGCACCTTTCGCCTGTATTGCCTGGCGTGTATGTGCCGTGCAGCGTCCGCCCGCCGCGGGCCCCGTGGAAGCTCGGACGACGACGACGACAACGACGACAGCGACGACGACGACGACGACGACGACCACGACGACCACGGCGACGACCACGACCACGGCGACAACGACGCCGACAACGACGACAGCGACGACACGACGACGACACTGACGACGACGACGACGACGACGACGACGACGACGACAACTATGCGCAGCCACGCTGGATCAGAGCCTGGAGGCATAGCCCTTCTCGGCGGCGAGCCCAGGGGGGAAATGAGAAGGAGAAGGCCTTCTCAGAAGACTCGGAAGCCTCCTGGCCTTCTGAGGAATGCCTGAAGCCTTCCCCGAACAAGCAACACCATTTTCAGAAGGCGCCAGGGATTCTGAGAAGGCCTCCCGCCGCCTTCTGAGAGGGCCTCCTCCTTCTCACTTCACCCCCTCGCTCGCTGCCGACCTCCTTTCCCCCCCGAGCCTTCCGCCCCGGAGCCTGCCGCGAAAGATGCCCGCGGCCCTTTGCCCTCGCCGCCACCTCGCGCTCGGCCTGGAGGCCGCTGCCTCTCTGGGCGCCCCTCCTGGAGGGAGGCGGGCCGGGGGCAACGGCAGACGACAGGCGGACAGGGGCAACGACTGGGAGGGGGTCAGGGACAACGACAGGGGAGGAGGAGGAAGAGGAGGAGGAGGAGGAGATGGATGAGGAGGAGGTGCAGAAGGAGGAGGAGGAGGAGATTGAAGAGGAGGACAGGCGCTGCGGAGCAGGAGGAGGAGGAGGAGGATGAGGAGGAGGAGGAGGAGGAAGAGGATGGACGAGGTGCATTCCCCGCCGAGAGGAACAGGGGGGGAACCAAAACTAATGGCCCATTTCGGTCAGGCTCAAGGAGGAACGCACCGACCACCAGTTGACCATTCATCCAAACAGTCTTCGTCGGTTTTCTGGGTTTCCAGCTTCGCGGTGCTATGCAGCGGCTGCGCCTCGCCGAGAGGCGTCCGGGGGTGCCAGGATCGTCTCAGACGGCAGCTGGAGACCCGAGACATGACCAGAAAACCAAAAAAGGAGGATCACCCGGGAGGGGGGGATTGGCTCAGGGGGGATGCATCAACCCCCAGTCGCCCACGCATCCCTGATAAGGGGCCGGATTGTCCACCATGCCCACGAAAGTGTGGATCCGCCATCGTGGGCATATCGACGATCTATCGGCGCTGTATCGCCGATTCCAGCTCGATGCCTCCCCTCCTGAGCTGGTTTCCCTTGAGCGTTGCCCCACAGGAGGAGAGAGAGCACCGAGGCCCCTTCGCGTCGTGAGCAAAATCGCTGCCAACCACCCTCGCCGGGCCCTAGGGACCGTAAAAAAACGACGCAGGACAAAAAGCCGTCCCCTGGGAAGGGGCCCATCTCTATGGGAGCCCTTTCTCTGAGAACAAGAAAAGCACGACGTCGGGGCTTTGAGGAGGAAGAGGAGAGGCGCAGAGCCTGTCGGAGATCCGCTTCAGCCTGTGAGCAGGAACCGCGCAGACCTTGCAATTAGGAAAAAACTGCCTCTTGCGCTCATTGGGCCTCGGATCCACGGACACCTTCGCGGAGATTTTTGCAGATCTCTGGGGCCTTGGAGCCAGCCTGTGGGGGACCCCGCAGAACCTGTAAGGAGGAATGGAGGAGAAGTAGGAGGATCTGTCCACACCCGCGACATTGCGATTAGTTCGCAGCGCGGGCCGTCTTCGGGGCAAGTCTTTGTATCCAGAGTGTTTTGTTGCAGGTCACAGTGCGGGGAACCAGCCTACAGAGCCCGAAGATGTTGAACAGCAGCTGTTATGTGTTTGTTACTGCGGATACGAAGAAAACGGATACGAAGAACGGATACGAAGTGCCAGAATATCGTGTGCCACTTGGTTATAGTGACGGATACGAAGAACCTTGCTCCCTGGCTGTTGTTGCGTTGCTCGGCGTGCAGTGCCCCGTTATCCGCGAGGCTATCGGAGACGAGCCGAGACCATCCGGCGGATGGCCTGGGTTAGTCTCGGATAGCCTGGCAGATGGCCACGGACAATTTTTCTGGACTGCACCGACTCTGGCGTGGGTAGGTGGGACAAGGGGGGCACAAAGGAGGAGGGGGAGGAGTAGCAGTAGGAGGAGGAGGAGGAAGAGAGGAGGAGAAGGAGATGAGGATCATGCGGTCGAGAAGGGGAATCCTGGGGAAGAGGCCGGGATGAGGACGACGACGAGCTCCGCCTCTTTCTCCTCTCGCTCCTGATGCTGCGCCTCCTCCTCCTCCTCCTCCTCCTCCTCCTCCTCCTCCTCTCATACGTGCGTCTCCCTCCGCTACTGCTGTGCTTGCTCCTCCTCATGCCCTTCACCTTTCGTTCCCTTCTTTGCCTCCTCCCTTCGACCTCTACCCATCTACCTTTGAGCCTGATATGTGCTCTCTGCGTCGCTGAAGGGAGGAACACACTAACAAACAGCTCGCGGTTCCAAAGTAACGACAACACTCGGCCGACACATCTCCCGTCTGCCTTGACAGTAGCCACGTTTCTTCGGGGGTGTTTGGACCCAGCCTTGCGCGCAGAATTGCTCCAGCGCGTCAACTTTTCCGAACGCAGCGACTTCCTTTCCACGCAGTGGTGCACAACAGGTTCGCACCCACTCCCCGCACTGATTGGGTCGCCGGCTCATGTCGGGAAAAATGTGTGGCAGGCCTGAAATTTGCAATCGTGGCCAGCATACAAACGCATAGTATGTGTCACGCCACGCCTGCCACGCATACGAGTTAGGAAAGCGTGCCTGGCCCCAAACGAGAATAACCCGACTGGCGGCTGTGCGATTTTGCTGGCACGATAGTTGTCTCAGACAGAGTCCGCGAGGACGAGCCGCGAGACGATGGAGCTCCATTCCTCGGCGTGGTCGCGCAGAAACATCTGCCAGGCTTCACGGCTAGCAGCGAGGGCACCCACGGAGGTGCGGCCTGGCCATCGTGGCTGGAAGCGTTCGCCGAGGGGCATCGACATTTGGCGTGTGGTATGTCGGCAGCTGAATGACACAGCGCCTACCTGACGCAGTCAATTGTATTGCACAACGTCTTCGAGCACTTCGCTGCCTGTTGCGCCCAGGAGGGCAGCGGCTGGCCGTCCTTAGCTGACTGCGCACTCGAAGAGGTCTGACTTCTCGCCGCCATCGAACCGAACAACATCGAATATCCATCTGTGAACGCGGATCTAGGCTGGTCTAGCATCGCAAATGCGCATTGAAGGACCGCAGGGAGAAAACAAGACGATCCCGGAATGACCGTTTCACAGTAATGTCAAGTTCTTTCCGTCCGAAGCGCGTCTACACATCCGCTTATATGCGTGTATGCTCTTATTGCAGCACCTTTTGGCGTAAGCGAGTTTGCGCGTTGGTGCAAGCGAGGTTGCCGACATGCGCCTCGACCTTACCGCAAAGATGAATGTACACACTCACACGATGCACGACGTCACCGGATCCAGGTATCCGTGGGCAAGACTGCGCTACGGTGGGTCTGCAAATATTGCCACGCACACGCATACACTCTGCATGTATCCTTCCGCGTCAGAGCAAGTGTGCATTCTGTCTGTCCACTATCAAAGTTGATCATTATCCGATGACTGGCGAAACCATAAACAATATGTGAATCCAATCACCTCCTCGTCCTCCCTCTCGCCCCCATTCACCAGTCGCTCTTGGAGTCGTAGTGGTTTCTTTCAGCGGGTTGCAACATCTCTTAAGCCTGGTAGTGGCGCCAGCCTCGCGCAACGCTGTCACAAGGTGATTTTGAGCGAAAACAGAGCAACAATTGAACGCCGGCGCGCCCAACCTGCACCCCTGGAGTCAGCTCGGTAAGCCTGGAACCGAGTTTGGAGCGCAGCAGTAAGGCGTGTGAGTTTCTCTGGGGCCCCCACTCGATGAATGGAGCTCCTCAGTGTAATGAAGGATCTATTCGGCGTCCTCGGCATCAGCCCCAGACCTAGTCAGGCATTCCAGTTGAGCCTTGTGGTTGTCAGGGACGTCCTGTGGGAACCCCATGCAGATGTCTGGGTTACCCCGTCAAGCCCTTTCTTAACAAGACCATCAACTAGTAGCCAGCACCGATCCAAAACAATGTGTTTCTAGAAGTCAACGTGGTGCAATCAATGTGGTGCACTTAGTTTCTGTTCGCAGTCAGTTGGCAACTATTACTGCTCGCGCAATCATCCCAACCACCCACTCGCAACTTGGCTGGCAAAGCCCCTGTGGCGGCAATTGTGATGCCTGCGTGGCGCTGGCTGGCACATGGCTGCGGCCGCGCTAGCGCGCGCGGGCTCGCGCGCTGAGCGGCCGGCTAGTCTGGCGCGACCGATGCGGCCAGGCTGGCGTTGACCGTAGGGAATTCCCCACTGCGTTTTACACGCCGCGCTGACGCGCGGGCACGTCAGTGCAAGTCCGTGACACGGGCGGGCGCGGTATCATGGCGACGTCGACCGCCGATGACGATGATGGTGTCCACGCATCCGCATGCTCGCGCGGCCGAAGGGCGCGATTCCCGCGTGGTATTACTTTGCAGGGGTCGCGCCCCCCACCCCTGCGCGCGCGCAAGGGCGTTCGAATGATTTCCTCACGCGGCGCGAAAGGCCCTTCCTGTCGCATGTGATGAACATGTCGGACAGCCCATGATTTTTGAAGAATTCGAAATGGCGCGCGCAGAATTTTTCAGAGGGGGGACATCTGATGTTGCAGAGAAATGTGTGTTCATATGTTTTGGGATGAACGAGCGTGCGCACCATAGTGCAGTTTGGGCAGAGGATTGTGGGGGTTGTCGGTGCTGGCCTGGGTGGGATGGAGCGACTTCGCAGGAACGGCGGGGGAGACTAATCTGTACACTTGCTCATCCCAGGGGCGGGGGATGGTGCAATACACGTTGTGGCGTTTATGTGGGACAATCTGCGCGGTGCCGTCGACGTGGCCCAATTTACGCCACATAGTAGATAAAATGCATTTTTGCCCCGCACCCAACTGGTGCAAAACATGTTGTGGATTGTATGTGGTGCAACACATTTTTGGTCTGCGGGGCGAGAGCGAACCCCTTCTGGTAAAAGCTAGGCGGGCTACACACAGCTCTAATTGGGGAGACAGGGCACAGGCGGGCGGGGCCTCAGGCGGCCGGAGGGCGGGCCAAGGTGCAGGCGGTGCCGAGGAGCTTGCACAGGAAAAGGAACGCCTTGGACAGGAGCCAGAGGCGAAGATCTGGAGGGTGAGCGGTGTGGTGTTGTCGTCAATGGCGCTCCGTAAACAAGTACCGCATAAGTATGTAGCGCAACACATTTGAGTATGTTTAATATGTTGTGCAGTATATTGAGCAATCCAAGTGGTACAATATACGTCGTGCGCCCTTCGTGCTTCAAGCTACGCGGTACAATCGCGATTGCGCAATATAGGTTGTGAAAATGTTTGAGGGTCAACCTGCGTAATGCAAACCAGGTGTTTCAGCGTTTGCTGTGCACCATATGTGGTACAACATCTGTTGTACGATCTGTGTGGTGCAATATCTGTTGTGCCGTCTAGGTTGAGCACCCAACGTGCTGCAAATCATGTCGGTTCCCATCGAGTTGTCAATTTCACGGCTCGCGCAATCATCCCACATATCCACCGATACTTGGTTTACAAAAGCCACGCAGTGGCGAGTGAGATGAGTGTTCGGCATTGGCTGGTGCATCTCTGCGGCCACGTTCGCCCGCGCATGCTCGCGCCGGCATCGGCCATCTAGGTTGGCGTCCATTTTTGCGCGACGGGGCGGTGACGGCGACAACATAGCCGCTAGACCGTCACACTTGCCCAGACGACGGGCGGCGACGGGGCGGCGACGGCGACAACATAGGCGCCAGACCGTCACACAAGCATTTGTTTTATTAGAAAAACGCAAACGAACATCCAACATGAGGTAGGCCGTCAATATGAAGTGGTGCGCCAAGTCGGTACCTTCCTTTGCCACAGCTCCGTGCTGGCTCGGAGGCACGAAGGCATGTTACGCATCCTCCATCCTTGAACACCGACGTGGCTCGCCCTACTCCCCCGTCCTCCCCATCTCCTTCCTATCGCCCTCCTCTTTCTCCATCCCCCTACTATCCCTCTCCCTCCTCGCCCTCCCCCTCTTCGCCCTCCCCCTCCTCGCCCTCCCCCCGCCCGCCCTCTCCTTCCCCTCGTCCTCCTGCACCCCCCCACCTGCCCTCCTCCCCTCTTTCCGCAACCTCCCAGGGCCCGATTTGTCGTCCTGAATTGTTTTCGTTGACGGTTCAGGGCTCTAGCGATGGCCCCAACGTACCGAAAACGACGAAATGCTTCCGTCCTGGTGTGTTCAAATACGTTGGACGGTAAGGTTTCGCGTTGCACACTGAGCCCTTGCAGGTAGTCCTGGCTGCGCTCAACGGGTTCCCCGAGGATGGCGGTGGGGAGTGATACCGGCCTGGCTGGGATAGGATGAGTTCACTTTGAGGATTGACGATGGGGCAGTATCATACGTAAATTGCAATACGCAAATGTGACCCGTTACTTCTGGGGGGATAGATTCTTCTTTTAGAAAAAGGGGAATCCATGTTGTGCTATATATGTGGTACCGTAGCACCCCGCAGATGCGGATAAGAGTGAGGGGGCGGCGAGGACGTCGTCAGTCTGCGAGGCTCTGAAGAAGCCCGCTGGCCTCAACAGGCCCCCCGAGTAGCCCACACCCCAACCCTGGGGCTCGGAGTGCCCCAGTGGCGCCGCCGGAGGCGGCGCCAGGGTGTTGAGACCGCCTTGGGCTACTCGGGGCGCCTGCTGAGGCCAGCTGGGCCTGCTCGGGGGGGCCTGTGGAGGCCAGCTGGGGCTACCTTGGGGGGCCTGTCCGCGCGCAACCCCGGGCCTCACCAGCGTTGGAGATCCAGGTCCGCCGACGCCGCCCCCCGACGACGGCGGCGGCGGAGACGGCGGCCGACGCCGAAGGGCGGCCAGCCCCCGGGCAGGCCGCCGCTGCGCTCGGCCTGCTGGCCACCGCTGCTGCGGCAGCGCCGCACTTCGACTGCCGCCCGGGCGCGGTGGCGCCTCGGCCGCCGTTTGCCGTGGTCGTGGTCGTGGCCGCCGTCCACCGTGTGGACGGCTACGACGACAGTGACAATGACGCTGCCGCCGACGACGACGACGACGACGACGACGACGACGACGACGACGGGTGCGGCCGAAGCCTCGAGATCCGCAGAGGGCGGCGAGGGCGCGCGCCGCGAGAGGCTCTCTCAGGATCTCTTAGGGGAAGAAAGAATGAGATAAACATAGAAGCTCGAAGGTCCGCGCGGATTTCTTGGATCCGCGCTGCGCACCCCCCTTCCCTGGCGCGCCCAGCGCGCCAGGGGCGGCGCCGGAGGCGCCGCCAGGAGGCCCCAGCGCCGATCCGAGAAATCCGCGCGGACCTCCGAGTTTTTACGTTTATGTCAATGTTCGTTTCCCTATTCCGAGTTTCTGACTGAGCGTCGGGGGGGGGGGGCACCACCTCCGCCGACAGCCACACGTCGACCCCCGTCGCGGGCGGCCGCCGATCGCCGAAGGCGCTCCGACCCCCGTCGCAGTGCGATGACGAGGCGAGATTGACCCCCGTCGGGGGGGATCCCCCCACGCTTATCAAGAAACCCAGACTCTTGGTGGGCTGGTTTCCCACTACCACCACCATAAGTAGGAGGGGGAGGAGGTCCTCATCCTCTTCGTCTTCTCCCTCCTCCTCACCCTCCACATCCTTCCCATCTCCAACTTATGGTGGTGGTGGTGGAAAACAGGGCCATCAACTCTGGGGATCCGAGCTCTCGCCTCGGGATGCTCTCCAGCAGCTGCGCCCCGCCGGGAGCTTCTTTTTTTCGGGGGTGCCTGGGTCGTCCGGACCGAGGTGTGGTTTTAAGTCGGGCACGTGCCTCTACAGGAGGAGTGTGCCAAAACAGTTTTAAAAAAATAGTCTGGGGGCGATTCCTTTATCTTTATCTTTTTAAAGAAGGGGGAAATCCCCGACCTACAGGTATGGCCCGGAGACCACTAGGAACCGAGAACCTGGAGATTCGGGCGTTCCATTGTTTGCAAACTGGGCGTTTGAGCCATGCTTCAGGCACCGCGACCAGCACAGATCGATCCCAGCCAAAAAACGCAGCACAACGAGGGGGTCTGAGGCTCCAGTCGAAGATGTTCGCGATGCTGTTGTTTCTCCGCAGCGTCGGATCTCAGGGGAAACGGGTGCGGAAAGCGTCGTGGTCGTCGTGGCCTCGGCTTGTTCATCGTTGTCTGGGGGGGGGGGGGAGGCAGAGGAGGACAACATATCGGCTCTGAGATTGTCAATTACGTGATACGGCAGTTGAAGCGATCAGGTCGGGTCACAGTGCTTGGCACAAGATGCTGAGCGTGACATGCCGCGCTCCGCCGCTGCCACTCACGCGAGCACGGTCGGGGGGATGTCGGCGAGAATAGGCGCCCGTGCCCTTCCCTCGTCGCCACGGTCGTACTGGCCTCGGAATATTCGTCAGGGTACACCCATGGGGAGGTCCAGGAAGTAGCGGTGTCGGTATTGCAATGTTTTCCAAGGAGGAGGAGGAGGAGGAGGAGGAGGAGGAGGAGAAGGAGGAGGAGGGGGGGGAGGGAGAAGAGGAGGGGAGGAGGAGCAGGAGGAGGAGGAGAAGAAGGAGATAGTCGTCGCCGTGGTCTTCGTTATCGTTCTCCTCTTGCTCCTCCTCCTCCTTCTCCCCCTCCTCTTCCCTCCACTCCCACCATGCTGTCATGTCGTGCTGATCATTCCCTCCCTCCCTCTGTTCGTTGAGCAAGGTGGCGTTCGAGACCGTGCATCTGCCAGGCCGCAACGTCGTGCTTCTCAGGCGCTCCGGGGGCGACGAAGACCGTCGACAGTGATCAAAGCTTTGTTTTCCGAGGTGTCCCGAATGCTCTCGACCCGGACCGATTCCAAGCATTGTCTCATCGCATGTCTTTTCATTACATTCATTACAACAACTGCGTGCGGCAATGTTACACATCACGAAGGCCCACCACGGACAGGCACCAACGACCTATATCAAGACCATGAAGGTACAAGCTACATCCACTACTAGCACCGACACTTGACATCAACACAACCCGCATCGCATTCATCAAACACATAAGGAAAACCCACTCTCACAACAGGCATCATGAGTACCCAGCAAGGCCATCGCAGAAGAGCGCGCGAATACCATACACAAAAACGCATCCTCACGCAGCACCTGCAACGAAGAACATTGTTCAAGCACCACGTTCATACGACAGAGCAACGACACGGACAGTCGTTTTTATTCATCAAGAACAGGAACATATTTCTAACAATTGGTATCGCAAAGCAGCGCTACAAGCATGACAGAGCCTTTCTCACTGCCGCTTGCCTGTGGAGAAGGACTTATGTACCTGGCTCACCCTTCACAGGAATGAGAGGGGGCTTGGGGTGAGGGGGACGGCACCGGGTAGCCCGCCTCCCCCCCCTCCTGGTGACAAAGGAGGAGGCTCCGGAATCGGCAGATCCCCAGAGTGCCAGGGGGGAGGGATCTTGAACCCCGCATCCCCCCGTAAGGCATTGAGTTCGTCTAATCAGGTGCTCTAGTTCGGGCCTCGTTTTCCGACCTCTCTCATTATTTCTCTCTCCCTTTGTCTATATCTTTCTTTCTCTCTCTCTCTCGCTCTCGCTCTTTTTTTGTTTCTCTCTCTCATTCTCTCTCTCTCTCTCTCTCTGTCTCCACAAAACGAGTCCTACATAATCTATCACGACAGGAATTCTGATGTGGCGGTCTGGCAGAGTTTCTTTTTGCAGCGGATTGATCGTTTATTCCTAGCGTGGTGGGTTACACATGGATTCTCCTTGTGGCGGATTACTCATCGATTTCGTCTGTGGCGGAGTACACACGAATTCCTTTGTGGCGAAAATAAGTTCCTGCTGGGGCGGATTGATCAAGAATTCATTTTGTGGCGAATTACACAGCGACTTCTTGTGTGGAGGATTCTACACATGATTCCTTGTGGGGCGTGGTGCACGTTGCTTTCCTTTTTAGGAGGCCTTTCTGGTAGTGAGCCAGGGGACAAACAAAACAGAACAACAAATCATTTAATTCCGATCGAATAACATGTCTTCAATGCGTTTGAGATCTTCGGCCCAGGAAGTTTAACACCACAGTATTTCAATCCAGTCTGGAGCCACAGCCATATTAGAACACAGCGTTGTCCAATACGTTAAACCTTAAGGCGTGTGGACAAGAGCGTATTGCGGAACAGGTATGTGACAATGTTGTATGCCGAATGCGGTGTTGGTGTTGAGCATGTTGTGTTGGATGCTTTCTTCGCCCAATACATCGAACATCACCGCAAACATGCAAGTGTGCCTGGTTGACTACCAGGCATACCCACTAAGGGAATTCCTTTGCAATCCGCCCCGCTGGACACCAATGTGAAATTCGACACAGAAGGAATTCTTTTGTAACCCGCCGCAAAAAGGAATCAATGTGCAATCCGCCGCGAAAGTTATCAATTCGCAATCTGCCACGCAAGGAATTCTTTTGTAATCCGAGCATATGTGTGACTGAGTCTGAGGTGGGGTCCGAGTGTGAGTCAGACTGAGTATGTGTAGGAGACGAGGGAGAGAGAGGAGCTGTGGGTGCCATGATTATGCAAGGAGCCCTTGCTTCGAAGTTAACCGTTCCACCGAGTCGACGTCCAGGGTTGTGGTAGCTGTTGTCCACTGCGCCACATTTTGTTCACAGCGTCAGATGTCAGAAGGGGGTGCGGCTGCTGGTGCAGAGCAGAGCGAGCGCGGGCGCCCTCCAGATTGGGGACCCTGACAGAATTTGAATGGCCCCTCAAACAGTGGCGAAGGCTCAGGGCCTGAACTGGTCGGAACCCCAACAAATCGGCTAGGAGGGGAGATGAAGCCAAATCCCATCAAAATCGGTCCCCGGACCCTTCCAGGGTCCATTTGGTGTTGTTTTTCGCCCTGGATACGTTTTTGATTGTCCCGGGGCTCAAGAACGGCCCCCGGTGGCGGAAAAGTGCCGCACCTCGAAACTCGCACTCCCCCTCCTACTGGCCGGCACCATGCCGCGGGTCGAGGTTCGATGCTTCTGGACGCGCTTCGCTTTCTTCAGGCCTCCAGGAGCCTCCTTGCAGCCGCGGGGCGGCCCTTCTGGCCAGAACGCGCCCCTGGGCAGGTCTAGAGGTCGATGTTTGACCCCAAGGCGCAGACCGCCTGATGTTTTTCTGTGTAGGGGAGCAAGCAATACGTAACATCAACATACCAACTCGGAAGTTCGCGCGGATTCTTCGGATCGGCGCTGGACCTCCTTCCCTGGCGCGCGGAGCGCGCCTGGGGCGGCAGGGCCGCTACGGGGCCCCAGCGCCGATCCCAGGAATCCGCGCGGACCTCCGAGTTGTAATGTTCGTGTCATTGCTTGTCCCCATAAGCAAAACAAGCGGTTGTCTTTGGGGGGCCGTCGGCTCCAGGGCCATCCTGAACGCGGCCCAGAGGTCTCGACCAGTGGCTCGGAGGCTTCAGGGTTTCCTGAGCGAGCTATTGAAGCCCGGAGGCTCTGGGCTTCAGTAGCTCGCACTGGTGGCCACATGCGAACACTACCCCACCACTGAGGCGGGGAGGCGGGGTTCACTTCGCTCGGGAGGTCCCGAGCGAAGTGAACCCCACCTGCCCCTCAGAAGCCGCAGGGTGGTGGAGTACAGTGGCAACCCATGCCAAGAAGCACCCTTCAGGGCGCCCTGGGTTGATCGGGTTTTTCGATGGTGTTTCTGTGCAAAGCGCGGCGTTCCCACACCAAAAACCAATGGACGTCGTGACGTCCTGGGGTCTCAGGGTTGGGTTTGTTGTAGAAGGCTTTCTGTGGTCGGCCTCCCATGTAGAAGGCTTTCTGTGGTCGGCCTCCCATACCAAGGAGGAGGAGGGGGGAGGGAGGGAGGGGGAGGGAGGGAGGGAGGGAGGGAGGGAGGGAGGGAGGGGGAGGGAGGGAGGAGGGAGGGAGGGAGGAGGAGGAGGAGGAGGAGGAGGAGGAGGAGGAGGAGGAGGAGGAGGAGATGTCCGCAGAGGGCACGGGCTCCAGGGCGGTGCACGGCCCATCCAGGCCTCGGCCAGGGGGGGCTTGCCGGGGCCCGGGGTGGCCCTGCCCTGCCACTCGAAGAAGGCGGAGGAGGAAAGGGAGAAGGAGGAGGAGGAGGAGGAGGAAAGGGAGGAGGAGGAGGAGGAGGAGGAGGAGGAGGAGGAGGAGGAGGAGGAGGAGGAGGAGGAGGAGGAGTAAGAGGAAGCGGAGGAGGTTGGAGGAGGAGGAGGAGGGGAAGGAGGAGGAGCAGGAGGAGGAGGAGGAGGAGGAGGAGGAGGAGGAGCGCTACACACAATCAAGACGTTGAATCAAGGACCGCTTTGGGCTCGCGAGCGGTTCGGGTTTTCGGGCCGTCCCTTAGACGAGACGTCGGGGGTGTGTGCCCGGGCCCGCCGTGGCCAGAAACGGCCCCTCGTTCCGGTCGCGCGATGATTCTAAGCGTGAATCACACCAGAGAAAAAACTTGATCAGTAGATGGCTTGAGATGGGATCGATAAAGTGATTGATAGGGAGATCGACCGGGATCCCGGGAACCCGGGAACCCGGGTCCGTCCCCCGCTTTCTGGAGCTCCGGAGACAGCGCACGGCAGATTCGCGCAAGGGCCACGCGGCGGCGGCCAGCGCCGATCCAAGGAATCTGCGCGGACCTCCGAAAGTGAGGTTCATGCGCTTCTTGTTCCTCGAGCTATCGGGACAGCCGCTATCTTGCGAGGCCTGATGACCCACGCGGTACCGGGAGCCAGTCAGTGCAGACGCCTTCGCGGCCGAAGCCTGCCCTTGCCGTCGCCGCGCTGCGGGGCAGTCTCCTGGGGTGCTCTCGGGACGCAGTGGCTCTGTGGAGGCCTCTGTGGAGGCTTCCGGAGGCCCTGCGGAGCCCCTCGAGGGCCCCGGCAATGTCACCGTGTCTTCGCAGCCGTGCCCCAGAAGGCCGACCGTGGATTCCAGCGGAGGTCTGGACACGTCCCCCGGGGACAGGTCTTTCTCCTCCTGAGGCGCTTTCTTTTCCTGACGGCATCGGGGCCCCGCGAGGGCTTCCACAGGCCGAGCACAGCCACTTGTTCGCGCCAGGATCCGCAGGCGACGTTTTCCCCAAATCCCCGAGTTCCGCCCGAAGAGTTTGGCAATTCATACGAAGTGGGAAACCCTGGGGTACACCCCAAGGAGGCTATTCGGACGCACCCCTATCGAGGATGGAACCCCCCATCGCGTGTATCCTCGGGTTGGGCCAAACTGCTTGGTCCATTTGAAACCCCACGAAGCTAGGAACAGGGGTCGACATGTCTCCTGTTCACGTTGTGTCATGATTTTCTCATCACGCGAGGGGGCCTCGAGACACAGGTGCTGAGGTAAGGGGCAGCTTGGGTTCCGAAGGGACTCGCTGTTTCTAAGGTCTTTCCACGGCTCTTCATCGAGCCCTCCTCGTGCATGCGGGCTCTCTTCGGGTCCAGAGAGAGGGGCTTCGCTCCTTATGCAGTCAGGGCGCATCGTGATGATGAGCGACTTCCCAAGGTCACCAGTGCTTCCTTCCCCTTCGGCTCCTCTTTGACCGGCGTCTATGTTCATGTCATGGTTTGTTCCTCTGGTGAGTGCGCCCTGACCCGGGCCCCGGCTGCTGCCGCTGTCCCCGTTGCCCCGACTGGCCGCTCCAGCCTGCTCTACGCAGAATTCTTCCACGCCTGAGCGCTTTCCCCTCCCCCTCCTCACCCCGCCCGGCCGCCCCCGTCTTGTTTCCCCCCCCTCTCGCACGCCGGACAATTCGCCTTCCTGGTTGCCCTGATGAGACCCGCTCGGAGGCGGCCGCGCAACGGCTAAGGGGCACGAGCCACTCCGTTTTGTTGTATGTGTCGCGCGTTGTCGGCAACCCTTGGAGAATGAGAGAGGGGTGGTGGGGGTGAAGAGGGGGGTGGTAGGGGGTGGTGTTGGTGGTGGTGGTGGTGGTGGTGGTGGTGGTGGTGGTGGTGGTGGTGGTGGTGGTGGTTGGTGGTTGGTGGTGGTGGTGGTGGTGCTCGACGCCGCCGACGGCAAAAGTTCCCCTCGTGACCCCCCCGCGGCCCCCGCGCGACCCGAAGCCCCCCCCCCGAGGCAGGGCCCCGGGTGCCCCGTGCTGGCGCCCGAGCCGCCCACGACGTCGGGCAGCCCCCAGGCTTCGGAGGACGCGGCCGAGGCCCGCGAACACGTCGCCGCCGCCGCCGCCGTCGTCGCCGTCGTCGTCGTCGTCGTCGTCGTCGTCATCGTCGTCGTCGTCTTCGTCGGCGTCGGCGTCGGCGTCGGCGTCGGCGTCGGCGTTGTCGGCGTTGGCGTCGGCGTCGGCGTTGGCGTCGGCGTCGGCGTCGTCGGCGTCGGCGTCGGCGTTGGCGTCGGCGTCGGCGTCGCCGTCGCCGCCATCGTGCTCGCGGCTCCGCAGTGCGCGGAGCTCCGCAGCACCGACGCAGGCAAGACGTTTTTTGGGGGGGCTCGCCGTGTGCCGTTCCCCGGGGCCGGGCCCCCTCGCTGGGCCCCCGAGAGTGAGCCGTCGGCAGACGATCTCTCGGGGGCGAGCAGCTGGCGAACTCTGTGCGTCTCTGTCCTCCTCCTCCTCCTCCTCCTCCTCCTCCTCCTCCTCCTCCTCCTCCTCCTCCTACTCTGTCTGTCTGGCGAACTCATGGCTCAGGACAGGCAGGGACATAGTCACCTTCCTGGATCTGAACATCCAGACAGACGAGCAGGGTATGGTGTGCTTCGGCCTTCTTACAGAAAGGAGCTAAACCTGTATCTATACCTCCCTGCGACCTCAAATCGTCCCCCCGCGGAGAGTGGTCCAGAGCTCCCGGGGGCCCGGCGATGGAAGAGGCCAAGACGTCGGAGTTTTCCGGACGGGGCTAGGATAAAGTCGGGCATTGTTCCTCTACAGGAGGAGCATTCAAACATCGTAAAAAGAAGTAGTATGGGGACGATTTTATGAGTATGGTCATGTTATGTTTGTATATGTTTCGATTATGTTTTTTCGTCTAGAATCCCCCTGTAGGAGGACATGCCCGACCTAAGGCTAGGACGCTAGGCTTCCTAGATGGGGTCGGAGTAGATGGGGCCGGAGGATCGCGCCGCATCGCCGATGCATGGGCGATGCGGCTCGATGGGCAGCCCCATGTTCTCCACGCCGACGTCGCCGATGCATCGCCGACGTCGCCAGTGCATCGCCGACGCTTCCCCGATGCATCGGCGATGCCTCGCCAATGTATCGGCGAAGCGGCGAGATCCTCCGACACCATCTACTTGGACCCCATCTAGGAGGCCTCGAAGGACGAGGTTGAATCCGTTCCAGAGCGTTCCGGAGTGCTCTCAGAGCGTTCGGGAAGCCTCTGAGAAGGCCGCGGCGCCCGAGACATTCTCCAGAGCCGCCGGATTTCATAGACTCTCGGCTTATCCGAACCCGATGTTATCCCCGTCCTGGCTTCGTCTTGGGTCTGGGGTTGTGGCCGTCGTGTTCAGCGTCAGTCGTGGCCGTCCTCGGTAGCGTCGTGGTCGTCAGCGTCGTCGTCGTCGTCGCTAGCGTCGTCGTCGTCGTCGTCGTCGGTAGCGTCGTCGTCGTCGTGCAGGTCGTCGTCGCTGCAGGAGGAGAAGGGGAGGGAGGGGGAGCAGGAGATGGGGGAGTGAGGTCGGGGCGAGGGAGGCGGGCGGCAGCTGTAGGCCCCAAGCTTGGAAGCGCGGGAGGTCCACGGTGTCAGCTTGTCCGTGCTCGCTCGACCCCCGGGCATCCGGCGGATCGACGTTTTCAATCCGCGGGCCCAGGAGGAATCCGTTTTTCAATCCTCGACATCTCGTCCGTAGAGTGCATCAGCGTGCGGTAACTAGCGGCTGGCAATCGAGTCGACAGCGCCGATCCAGCGTCGTTTCGCATCGATCTAGCGTCGATTAGCGTTGATCCGCAAGAGCCAGCAAGATGACGTGGAATGATCCCATGAGTTGCCACAGAAGGCTATTCGGCAATTATTCTTGGCCATCGGGGGCACGCCTTGGGCCGCAGGACCGTCAAAACAGTATCCCGGGTCCAGGCGCCGCTCCTGGGGCCGTGAATTGAAACAATCGCATCGTCGGATGTCTGGGATTTGTTTGTTCCCGGGGCGGGTATTTTTCATCCATTTTTTGTTGGACGGTGCGCCCTGGGGGCCAGCCGGCCCCGGAGGCCGAGAACGCCAGACAGAATTGCCGTTGCAGTTCTTCGTTACGCCCGCGTCTGCGGGGAAGGCCGCGTATCATCGGAAGGCAACGCTCGTGATTAGACGCCGCCCGAGTGCGGTCTGTCCAAGATTCGGGATCCGATCGTTGCCACGCGGACGCCTCAGGAGGCCCCCACAAGGCAATCCTCAGTCCGCACCCTTGATCCTCGATCCGCAACACCCAGAGTCCGATACAGTGGGAGCCCATGCCAAGAAACACCCTGCTCGCCTCCAGGGTGCCCTGGATTTCTTGGGTTTCGCGATGGAGAGCGCGACGTCCACACACCAAAAGTCAAGGGACGCCCTGGGGTCTCAGGGTTGGGCTTCTTGTGGACTGGCCTCCACTGTATCCTAACGTTTCTTGCTTGTGCAGGATGACGATTTCGAGAAAAAAGCAGGAGGGCTCGTGGCGGTGCCTGCTCCATTCGGTCCCCGAACTGCTCGTCGTGCGCGTCGGCCTCGTCGTCATAGAGATTATTCGATCGCCCCCTCGAGAATCCAAAGTGCCCCCCCAGCGACCGATACCTGTTGTTGTGGCATCGCCTCCCCCGTGGCTTTGCTTTGCCATTGTCACGTGACCCCGATCTTTTTCCAGGGCTGACTTGTCATCCGTATGGCCCCCGCCCGAACAGGCCGAAGCGGTGGAGTGACCGCACCGCGTAGTGAGCAAGGGGGGGGGTCGGGATCACAGCGCGGTTTTGGGAGTCGGGTCGTTCTCAGAGGATATCTCGGGCGGATGGGGCCTCTGAGGTCCCAAGGCTTTTCGGTGACGGACCGTGCGGTGAGGTCACCGCACGGTCTGTCATCGCACCTGTCTCGGATCCCCAAGAAACCTCAGAAAATGACGGCCTGATGTTTCCAACGCGCTGGAGATCTGCGCCCCCGATCATTTGAAGGCCACGGTCGTGTGGGAAACCGCCGAGGGTGCGTTGGAATCTCGACCTGACTTCTCGATCTTCGAAGGCCATCTTGCGTTGCATCGTTGGGGGACCTCGCCAGTCCACGACATTGATGTCTTTGTTTGTGCCCGACGCGGGCTCGGAGCGGACTCGACTCGGATTTGACATGGATTCGACGCGGATACGACACGGATTCGACACGGCATGGATTCGGCACGGATTCGATGCGGATATGGCCGCCACGGGATAAACAAGGACCGCCGGGGGGACGACAAGGAAGAGGTTTAGGAGGAGAAGGAGGACGAGGAGGAGGAGGAGGGGGAGGAGGAGGAGGAGGGGAGGAGGACGAGGAGTCAAGGAGCAGGGCAAGGAGGAGGAGGAGGAGAAGGAGGAGGAGGAGGAGTAGGAGGAAACTGAGGAGGAGGAGTCGAGGAAGAGGAGGAGGAGGAGGAGGAAACGTAGGAGGAGGATGAGGAAGAGGAATGCCCGCGGCCCCCACGGCGACGGGCCTGCGGACCCTCGGCAGGCCGCGCTCGTGGACGACGCCGCCGAGGACGCGGTGCTGTCGCCCGCCAGCGCGCTCCACGCCGGCAGTGCGCGCGCGCACACCGCCGGCCTGCGGCGGGCCCCCGTGCTCACGAGCGGCGCGGCCATCGCTGGGGTCCTGGCGACGATGGCTCCTCCTCCTCCTCGAGCCTCCTCCTCCTCCTCCTCCTCGAGCCTCCTCCTCCTCGGGCCTCCTCCTCCTCGAGCCTCCTCCTCCTCGAGCCTCCTCCTCCTCCTCCTCTAGCCTCCTCCTCCTCCTTGACGGCTCCTCCTCCGCCTTTTCGACTCCTCTTCCTCGAGCATCACCCTCCTCCTCCTCCTCGACTTCTCCTCCTCGAGCCTCCTCTTCCTCGAGCCTCCTCCTCATCCAGCCTCCTCCTCCTCCTCCTCCTCTTCGACTCCTCCTGCTCGATCCTCCTCCCCCTCCGCTTCCTCATCCTCGCAGGGGCAACCTTAGTCATTGCAGGTCTTGCCTGCTCACGGAAAGGGAGAGCGAACGCAACATAATGTGTTTCACCGAGCGATCAAAGAAGCGGCCCGTGAAAACAATAACAAAATGCAGGTTGCATTCTGGGCGAGTGATTATGATCATCTGGCCGATTGGTAGCAGTTCGCCTGCTGCGATGAGCTTAGGCATCGGTCGATGTTTGCATGCAGCTTGCAGATGAGCGGGCTCGCGTGGTCGGCGTGACTCGGTTGTCAAATACACTTGTCAAGAAAACGTTGCTGTCCAGGGGGTCCATGCCTGCGCGCGCATTCTCCCCATTTCCGCGCCCGCGGAGGCGCCGAGGCGATCGCCAAGAGAAGCGCCCATTAGAAGGCACTCAGGTGGTGTTGCCGCGGCGGGCCGTCGTGGGTCACTCCTCATTGATTTTTCACAGGAGGTCTCTTCGCGTCACCATTTGTATTCTTTCGTGTGTCATCATTCGTGTTGTTTTTTTGTGTAGTTGTTCGTCCGGTTTTACAGCTAATGCTGTAATTGCTTCCACTCCCTTGAGAAGAGATGCCGCATTTGTACACTGGCATGGAGTGCGCGCTCCGTAATGAAGAAACTATGAGGATGACGTTGGATATGTGAGTGGATCGGATGGTGGTGATATGGCGGGAAGCACTCAATCTGAGAGTGTGTGCAGCGAGTGTGTGTGTGTGTGTGTGGTGGTGACGATAGTGATGATGAAGATGCTAAAGCTGACATGCTGATGGTGATGGACATGATGATGGTGATGGTCATGGTGTGATGGTGATGATGAGTGTGGCAGGCCTGAGGGAGAGAGGGTGAGTTGTTTTTTTCCTGCGCGGGGGTGTCCAGTGGAAACAAGAACCTCATTTAGGATATGGGGAACTGCTTCGAAACTGGTCCCGGGAATGGGTCCACACATTTAGCGACGCTCAGAGGGAGGGGAGGGAGGCCCTTGGATCAGAGGAGGACCTAGCGCTACCCCTGTCTCGTTTTCGTATTCTTGGGCCTCCTGGGAAGCCCTGGCGACACGGCTTGACCCGCTTCGGATTATTGGTCAGAACGCACCCCCCGAGAGACCAGGGAGTAGTGGTATTGATACTGCTTGGCTTCCACATTAGATCGGGGCCGCACAGCCAAGCATCGCGACAGCGCTTTCTTGTGGTTCTCGGCCATGACGCCGTTCCCCACCTCTTTGGGCCATTGGGTTACGCTACCGAATGCCCCTACCTTCTTGATTCATCTCATATGCTGATGGACATCTGTCAGGAGGGAAAAAAACACAGATACAATTAACGGCCGACTCCCAGGAAAATAGGGGAATCTATTGGAAGTGGGGGGGACCACGAAACCCAGACATGAAAATATGGGGAATCCTGGGATTTGCGTGTATTTATCTGTGTGTCCCTGGGCCCCCTCAATCTGTCCAGCACGCCTGTAGAGCACGTGAGGCAGCGTAATTTCACTGCTCCCGCGAGGCTTCCTGCGATGCTCGTGGGTCTCTCCCGAGAGGCTCCTGCGAGGCTCCCGCAAGGCTCCCGGGGCGCCTGACAAGCTCCTGAAAAGGACCCTGTCAGGGTCCTGCGAGGCTCATGTTGATGGGCCCGTTTTCCATCACCACCATCATACATTGGATGGGGGGAGAGAGGAGGAGGACGAGAAGGACAACAAGAAGGAGGAGGAGGAGGATGACGAAGAGGACGAGGAGGAGGAGGAGGAGGAGGACCCCCTCCCTTTCCAACTTACGGCAGTGGTGGTGGAAACAAAGGCCCATCACATGTGAACTCCGTGAGAGGTTCAAGGGAGGCTACTCAGATGCGGGACGAATCCCTGAAGGATGGAGAACTGGCCCAGGGACGAAGGGTTTGAGATCGCCAGGTGCCCACGTCACGAAGACACATGCGACGCTTGGGGTTCCCAGCCCTACAAAAGGCCGCTCAAGAAGGAAACTTTGTTGTTTGGGAGGGGATCAGTTTTTCTTAGTTGTTCTTCCGATTGCCTTAGGTTGTCCTTAGGTTCTCTATGGGGAATCGAAGTTGAACTTCTCGAACACATGGGCCTCGTTCCTACTTCAGGGTCCCTCATGACAGCATTTCGACTGTAGGTCTCCAGCGGACCAGTTTTGAAGCTTGATTTGCCTCTCTTAGCTTCGGGAGGGGGGGGGGCTTCTCGTGGCCACGGCTGGGCGCAGTTCGAGCAATCTTGTCAGGAGGGGGTCCATGGTGAGTTGAGTCTGGAGATCGGTCTTTGACAGGGGGGCGGATGGGCGACCCATATTTCGTGGCGTCGCCGAAACAAAACGTGACGGGCGCTAAAGATCCAGGACGCACGGTTTGAAACAAAACAGCGTCGAAGGTATGTGTTACTATTCATATTGTAGCTATTCGGAGGTCTCTTGCAGTTGTCCGATGTGTTTTCCTTGAAACTTGGACGTTTTTCATTCCACGGGGTGTCTCTCAGCAGCTGCAGCTCGTCGAGAGCCCACTGGGGACGCCGCCCGTCGTCCCGAAGGGCGACTCGCATTCTACACGCCCCCCGAACCTTCAGCGCCCTTCGCGAAGATCGGGTTGGTCGGTCCGTCAGAGATTGGCCAGAGGCTTGTTTCAGGCCCCGCATCTCGCTGTGCACGTGCTCGTTGTTGCGGTTGATGGCAACACGGTGCCTATGCCGTAGACGCCCTCGGCCGGGGGCCGAGAACATAGTTAGGGGTTAAGAATGTGCCTTTCTAGAGCCGCCTCGTGGCAGCTCGGGGCCGAGCCATTTGTGAAAACGCAAGGCACATACGTTCAAGGTTTTCACGCTCTGAACTTGCTCCTTCCCTTCGGGCGAGGAGACCTGTGCACATACACCGATCCTTGTCAGACCCATCCTGGGCCCAGGATCGGTGCATGTGCCTCTCTGGCCAAGCCACCAGGGCGCGTGCACCGATCCTGGGCTCTGGATGGATCTTGCCAGAAACGGCGTGTGTGCATAGCTCTCTTTCCTCTGTCCTTTTCCGCGCGCTTCTCCTCCCCCCTTGGCCTGCTGTGCCCATTTCGGCCCCGAACGCGTGAGGGCTCCCGCCGCCACGACCAAACAAAACAATGTTGCGGGCCAGCGGGGCCAGCAAGAAAACAAGGCACGGCTTGAAGTCAATGTGTGTTCGTTTTTTTATTCATTGCCTTGCCGATCGGCGCGGGCTTTCTCATTCCCCTCTTCACCCCATGGAGTAGATTTGGGAGATTTGGTGGCGCATGTTTCGAGCAGGTGGAGTCTTCTCCATGGTCCATAGGACGCACTGCTGCAAACAGTCACATTAAGCAGAGGTCCGAAGCCAGATCCCCACCCCTCCCCCCCCGTCCGACCGATGTCGAAACGCAGAATAATGGGAAAACGTCCGTTTTGAGAGATGGGGTCGAGAGTCCCGCAGCCCTGCGCCTTGAACAAAAAGACTGCGCTTGCGAATGGCAAGCGTGCAAGAGACATCAAGGGCGCGATTGCGTCCCCTGCAGGTCTTGCAACTGGTGGCGTCTTCCAGAGGCTGGCCCTGGGCGGTGCGACCGGCCAGATTTCAGTTTTAGGTCGCATCCGTGCAGTCAGTTCGCATCCGTGGCCGTTACCTTGTAGGAGCCTTGCAGCCACCAACGCTCGATCCACCACGCAACACACTGCGCAACCCGCCAGGCCTCCCCCCACCACACACACACACATACACTCACACACATAGGCACACACGCAAACACATACACACACATACACATTCATTCATTCATACTTAAACACAGACCCACATACGCACGTACACACATACGCACACATACGGACATACACACAGGCATATTGATTCCTGCACGCACTTGTAAACCCGTACGCAACATGGAGTTCCGCACGCACACGTTAACCTACAGCACCTGGGTGACAACACCGCAGCGAATACCAGGGCTGACCACGCCTAGTTCAATTACCACCTGACGCTGCAGATGGAGGGTCTGGACGAAGGCTGACGCTTGCAGAAAATGCAGGACCCACGATTGCATGTAGAAATCGCCGAGAAGGTCATGTAGATGCAGAAGCGCGCGACGCACACCAGCATTGAAACGCAGGAGGAAACACGCGGAAGATGCTGAAGCGACCACGCAACACAACGCAATGCAATACAAGAAGAGGTGATTGTACAACAGGCGGGCGTTGGCCAGTGAGTGTCACTGCCCGGCCAAGCAAGCAAGCAAGAAGTCACACACCCGGAGGTGCGTAGGACACTGGATGGGAAAAATTGCAGATTAAATAATACAGTCGGGCTACGTTGCGCTATGTTGACAGCTTAGCTGTGCGGACAAAGTGCCGCCAAGAAACTTCGCTGGTCAGGATGCACGGCCGAAGGGACCGCATGACAGTGTGGGACCTGTACCCCCCGATGGCGGCATCAGGGGTGCAGAACCTTCTACCCGCGGGCGTCTCGCACGACGCCGCACCGAGCGCAGAACCGAGGCGTGAGCCCACAGGGTGGGCGACCCAGGAGAGCGGCAACAGCGGCAGCAGGAGGCAGAGGAGGGAACCGACACCTGGGGACCAGGACGAGCCCAGAGCCAAAAGAGGGCATGGGCGCGAGCGACGGGGGGAGGACCGACGACCAAGGGAGAGGGAGGGCGAAGCCAATGCGACATCCCGAGGGACGAGCACGAGAGGGGCAGGTCAGAGGAGAGACGCAGGGCGGACAGAGGATGGACGACGACGGCACTACCTGGAGGCACACCGTGCCTGAGACCAGAGCCGCCCAGGGGAGGACGACGGGCTGGCTCGGCCAGGCTGGCGACTCCGCGGTGGGGCCGCTGGGTTGCACCCCAGCGGCGCATACAAAAAGGAGAGCTGGACGCAGCGCACGGGCCACAAGACACCCCTTCGGTGAACTAGGCAGCCACATGACGCGGAGGGGGCCCGAGGCCTGCGACACACTTTTGGCATCGCGGCCACTCGCGGTGGCGAGGCGTAGAGCAAGTCAAGCGGGAGCGCGCGGGCCGGGCCAGCCCACGCAGCGGCCAGAGACACACACCACGGACTTCCAATTTGATGAGGTGCTACAAACATGCCCCGCCCTTGCGCGCGCACACACACACACACAAGCACACACACACAAGCACACGCGCGCGCGCACTCACGCACGGGGTTTCAGACACATGAGTTTACGCGTGTGTGGTGTCTCACAAATCATATTCCACACCCGTGGGGTTTCGCACACATTTTGAGTTCCACACGCTCACGGGGTTCTACATTCATGGGCTTCCAGACACACACACACTGGGTTCCACACGCGCATGTGGTTCCATACGCACGGGCTTCTACCTGCGTAGCTCCGCGCGCATGAGCGTTCCACACATGCTGCACGAACGCCCTGCTCGAGATTTCATGCGACTTCGTCAGCGTCACAGAACGGCTCCTCGCCGCCTCGATCCCTCTCCTCGGACCTCCTCGGCAGGTTCTGCTGGCCGCGATCTCTCGAGCGGTCTGGGACAGGAACGTGCGCCAGCCCAGGCTGCTCGCCCAGAAGGCGGCGGCGGACGAGGCCGAGCGGGCCCGCCTCGCCAGCGAGGAGGCGGAGCGCCGGGCCCGCGAGGAGGAGCTGGAGCAGGCGGCCCGCGCGGAGGCGGAGCGGAGGGCCCGCGAGGTTGCCCTGAAGGGGGCACGAGAGGAGCGGCTGCACGCTGCACGTCAGAGTGGCCTTTCGCTGGGGTGGCCTCTGGTCTTGGCACACTGGTCGGAAGCCTGGCGACGGCTGGCAAACCCGTGGCTGCTAAAACGGAGCTCTGGGAAATTGTGTTTTTTTTCTTCTGGGACGCAGCCCGTTTCCTATTTAGTGCGCTGAGCTCGATTCCGGGAATTTGTTTTTTGTTGTTTCTTCTGGAAAGACCGTTGTGGCAGCCACGGATTTGCCAGCTCTCGCCCAGCTTCCGAACTGGGGCACCACGGCCGCCGAGCGCTTCGCAGTGGCAGCGGCCTCGACGCCTGGGTTTGGTTCCCTCGCGCCCCCCTTCGGCCGCGCACCAAGCCCAGACCCCCGAGGTCACGATTTTTCGTTATCTCGGCCCCCAGAGATCTCGACCCGTTCCCCAGGACCAGGATTTCACCCTGAGTCGTGTTTGTTGACGCCCGAGGCCCGGTGTGGGTTCTCACATGGAAAGACGTCCGTCGCGATTTGTCCATGACTGCAGGGGCCTGGGAGGGTTACTCTTGCCCACGGTCACTCTTGCGTGTAGCCGAGAGGAGGCGACAACACTGGCGCAGAGAGCTCTGCAGGAGCAGGAGGATCAGAAGGGAGCAACAGACACACCAACAAACGTCGATTCTTCATGGAAATCTGGGAAAATATGGGGGTGGATGGGGAATATGAAAATCCAAACCATATTACGCACCATTGGGTTATGCCATGTGTGTGTGTGTGTTCATGGACATGTCTGTCCCTGGGCACCCCCCTCTGGAGGAGGCGGTCGAGGCGAGCCCCACGGGCAGGAGCAGCAGGCCCAGCAGGTCCCCGCACGGGCGGCGAAGACACACCCGTCGCCGCGCCCTCTCGCGGTCTGGATTGTGGGGCTCGTCCATGCGCAGAGGGGGCGAGCCCCACAATGTGCGCGCCGCCAGGGTGCGCGATCCCGCGGATACACGGCCTCGGGGAAGCGTGAGCCTCGAGCACAGACGGGCCGAGGTTGGAAGAAGAAGAAGAAGCCACACAAACAAAACTAATAAGTAGAGTCCACATAAACATAAACTGTTGGCGCTCCGCTCGGATTTTTTGGATCCGCGCCAGCCCCCCCCCCCCCCCGGCGGCGCCTCTGGCGCCGCTCCTGGCGCGATCCGTGCGCCGTGGAGGGGGGCCCGGCGCGGATCCAAGAAATCCGAGCGGACTTCTAAAAGTGTATGTTTACGTAGGTTTTTGTTCCTCTAGAGGTATACGATCGAGGTCGGTTCGGGGCGGGGTACACTGGTGTTCTTCGTGTTCGGTGAGTGTTCTGGTGCATCCTGGGAAGAGTACCCTTAGATGTTCTGTTTGTTTTGGCCGACGGAGGGTCTCATGTTCATGTGGGATGTTTTTTGGCCTAGGTCCGACTGTACCCTAGAACTCGGGTTTGCTCACGTCGAATTTCAGAGTGGGTTTCGTCATGTTCTTGGTGGCCCCGTCAGGCCAACCCGAGTCCCCCGAACCCGATTACGGTTCCCCGACTGTCGCACGTTGGAGCCATGTGGAATTCTGAGGTGGCCCAGCACTCGTTGCAGCCAGACGGAAGGGCAGGTGAGGTTCAAGGCGCGTGATTGTTTTCCTGCCTCCAGGGGCTGTTTTCGGACCCCGGGGCCGTCAAAAACTAGTCTGGGGTGATAAACTGCACCAGATGGACCCCAGGACGGGTCCGTGTACCGATTTTGAGCGGATTTGGCCGCCTCCTAATCGCACGGATGCGTTCCTCGCGGGGCGTCCGCGGAAAAAGAGGCACATGGGCCCCGCCCGCAAGGCCGTGGAAGCTGATGTGTGAGACATTATCCGCATCCGCGGCCTCGTCTGAAGCGGTCGACGCAAAGCCAACGTGGTTGAAATCGGAGTGCAACGCACTTGCGGCTAAAGTAGATACAGTCAACGCGCCTAGTAAGGACGCGCGCCTTTTCTAGGGTACCCCTGCGTGCTTGGCACTGCGGCCCCCCCTTTGCCGTTTTCATTGGTTGCCGTCGCCCAAAAGTCCCATCTTCGGCCTCCAAGGGTCTTGCGTCCTTACCACCCATTCTTGAGACACGAGTTCACTGTATCGTCGCCAGTCCCATCATTGGCACACCACGCCCCTGCATGTCGTTCCCCTGCCCGACCTCCAAAAGTGGTTCACCCGCGAGGTCTCCGAGGGACCGGTGCCAGTATGACGACAACAGGCACGCCTTCCAGCTGGCCCGCCAGGAGGAGGAGGAGCGCAGGTCGCAGCAGGAGAAGGACACCGTGGGGCAGAGGAGGGCGAAGTGAGGCAACGGTAGTTAGCCTTCGGGGGGGGGGAGGCTTGTGGCCACGGTTGGACGCAGCTCGGAAAATTGGTGCGCTTGGACCCTGGGAGGGGTCTGGGGACGGATTTTGAGCTGCCGTTGTCTCAACTCGACTTGCTCCGAATTGGGCGGGAAGCATGCCTCAGATGTGCGTTTCAGGTGCCTTCATGTGGCCCACCTGACGGGTCTGCTTGACTCTAGTTCGAATCCAGTGTGATTCTGGTTCGACTCTAGCTCGGCTCAAGTTTGACTCATCTTCGATTCGAGTTCGACTCAAGTTCGACGCAGCATCCAATAATGTACCCAGAACGAGCATCTAGCATGCCCATGTCCGCCGACACGTGCGGTCAGAACTCAGGCGTGGTCACAGGGATGCGGGGCGGGCGGCTTCTTGCCCAAATGCCCCACGCGGAGCGCATCCATCGGATCACCATTGGGTGCCCAGACCGCGACGGCATGGATGCATTCTTGATACTTCGCGTATCCCCCACTCGTCCGTAGCCCCCTTGGCTCAAGCCATCTGGCTCAAGCCTCTGGCTCAAGCCCTGGCTCAAGCCCCCTGGCTCAAGCCCAAGGGGGTATCCCCTAGGAGTTTGCGGGCCGCGCGCTGCCCCCGGGCCGCGCTTCGGCCATATCAAACCCCCTGGATTACACCTCCCCCAGCGGCGCGGCGCGGCAGCCAGCCTGCCAGGTCAGGCTTAGCATGGATGGGAACCCGATCGGTGACAGATCTAGGATCCCTGGGAACCCTGCGGGTGAAGATGGAAGCCTAGTCGAGGGCCAGGGGGCCCACGTACTGGCTGGTTCAAGCCCTCCTCTCCCAGGATCACAGGATACCATCCCTCCAAGGCAGCCGTCGCCCCTCGCTCCTTGGGACCCTCCGGGCCCGATCGGTCCGATCGCGTCCGAGGATCCCTTGATCGTACCCGTCAACTCAGCAGACACACGAGAACAATCGGCCTTCAGCCGGACGGAAGTTGAGGGTGCCACGGTGAGCGCCGAGAGACACAGTGACACTGCGACCTTCAGTCGCTTCCCTGGGTTTGATATTGACAGCAATGACTCTTTCCCGCCAGATCTGTTTCCCTCCCTTACCCCGACGCTTCCTCTGCCCCTGGCTGGGCGTCCAATCTCCTTCTCTCCTGGCGGTGAAGGGCAGGACTGGACCGCGCGCGGCGATACCAGGACCACGGGGGGCCGTGGCCCCATTCCTGATGAAGAGCATCCCCCGAGATGTTCAGGCCCATTTGGGCCGCGCAGGAGCTCCCGCCAGAGAGGCGCTCTCGAAGATCGGCCCAGGAGCTTGACCGACGAGGGTGGATGGCCTATGCTTGAGGCTGCCCAGGGGGGTGACTGCGGTGATGATGGGTGGGTGGACGGACCGCCGTCCGCTCACGTTCCCGATCCACATCCCATTGGCTCACGCCCCCGCTCCGCCGACCGCCCTCCCTTGGACGTTTCAATGCAGAGAGGAGCAGCCTTCAGCTGCGAAGGGGCCGATCCTTTGACCGTGGAGGCCGTCGTCCCGGTCGCGCAGCCGACCCATCCCACTGATGCGAGCCGACGTCAAGACGGCTCCCGCCTGCCGCCCGCCGCCTCCCCCGGGCATGACAGCGTTGTACACGCAGAAGACGGGCCTTCAGCCCGGGGAGCGCCGTGCGAGACAGCAGGAGTGGACGAGCCTGCAGCTCGGGATTCTTTAAATGGACAGATGGACGTTGACGGCGGCACGGCTGCCAATCAGCTCCATGGTCATCCTTGTAATCCCGATGACTCCCGTCCTTCCTCCGCCCCCCAAGCTGACAGTCACAGACGGGACGAGCCTTCAGCTCGGGAGTCACAGGCGGGGCGAGCCTTCAGCTCGAGTCTCCAAGGCGTATCTGACAGTTACAGAAGGGACGAGCCTTCAGCTCGCGAACCAGAGACGATGCCCATGGATGCCGAGAGCGCCGCAGAGACTGTGGCCATGAGTGGCGGCGGCATTGAGCCCCCAGCCATCCCTGGTGAAGCAACTCAGGGCCTCCCTCAGCAGGCGGACTCCCAGGCCAGCGGCGGGCGTACGGCCGACACCGCCGACGTAGTCATGGAAGCGCCAGGCTCCGCAACGGGGCCGACCCAGAGAGGGCGCGTCGAGGATGGTGCGGCTGGCACAGCCGGCGCCGCAGGCGATCTAGGTGGCTGCCGCCATGACACCGCCGCTCCCCTCCCTGGAGACATGGGCGCCACGACGGCAGTAGCACCCAGCCCCCATGTCGTTGACCTCGCCGATGGGACTGGCCTTCAGCCAGGAAGAAATGAGCAGGAAACGGTTGGGGTGGACGCGACGAGCATACTGAATGCTGCGCTCGACAGGGGCTACAGAGCGGCGCGTCTCGCTACAGACAGCGCCGAAACGAACGGCCACGGCCAATCCTCCCTGGTAGCGACGACGGCTGCATCCACGGGTCGACCCCACACGTCCGACGCCAGCAGGGTCCCATCTGACCCTGCCCACGAAGTGGGCTCCCTGGTCGATCTGATCGATCGCATCGGACCTCCGATCGTCGTCGCTGGACCGCCCTGCGTCTCCCTCTCCTCGCCTACCCGCTCCTCTCCCATCCACTCCTCTCCTGGCCCTCCCCCTGGGTTAGAACATCCAGACGCCATTCCGGGCGGTAGTGGCCATGGCCGCGAAGACCCGTCCCAAGGGGTGGGCCGTGGGCCCCTCATCAGGACTGCCAACGGTTCTCTGTTCGTGTTGAGGCGCGCGGCTCCCAGAACGCCCAGTACGCCCATCCCCCTCCCTTTCCCTTCTCCAGACCTAGCCCTGGAGGAGGAACTTCGGACGGCGAGCCAGGATGCCCCCACTGACGCGGAGGATGGCACCAGCCAGGCCCATAGAGAGAGGGTGCAGTACGCAACCGACCTGCATGCTCGATGCATGGACGCCACTGGACACACGAACGCAGACTGGGCAGTCAGTCGGGAGACTGATGGACCCATGTGTGGGCCGCGCGTTGCTGACCCTAGGGTCACAGGCAGGGGAGGCACCATGAATGCCCTCCGTCGCCACCCAGTGCGCATTGACGGCCCCCGGCGTGAAATCACCGACCGAGGGGCGCCTAGAACCGCCGACCAAACCAGTAACCTGGAGCTCCTCACCCACCACGCGTGGAGGGGGCATCGCCCTGGTCCTCCTGGTATACGGGAAGGCAGCCCCCTGCGAGCGGTCCCAAACGACGCTCTCCTCCCCGGGTTCGGATCTCAGCGAGCCACCTCGGCACCAGCCCTCGCCATCATGGACCTCTCCTGGCTGGTCTGGTCAGTCACAGGCGGAGACCGCGAAGGACGCTTAGGGGGTACGCAACCTGATCCGACGCAGGTGCTGGCCTTCCGCTTCGCGAGTGTCACTCATGACCCCTGTGTAAGGTTGGAAAGACTGGGCGCGGACGATCCCTCCGTGGTGGAAATGCAACTAGCACGTCTCGAGTACGCCGTCATGACGACCGCAGCACACCATTGCGACATCGGGATGGAGCCTCCGAGTGGATACGACACGGACAACATGCTCTCGCCCACCAGGCCTCCCCGTGATGCTGTGCCACTGCGCAGCAGCGGCCCCAACCGGCCAGACGGCGCCCAAGACCCCATGGACGACGTGACCAGGGCGTACGCGTGCAGAGTCCTAATCCACGAGCGCAGGCAAAATATAGCTCACTTTCCGGACCATAGGGACATCATACATTGGGCCACCAGGAGGGGCAATCGCGAACGGGTTGGCGACGACGTACACTCGAGACAACAATCAGGTAGAGGCCCCGTGCCACGGGCAGAGCCAGCTCTAACAGGAGTAACGGCCAGCACAACTGGCATCCCCAGGGTACCGATCCAAGGTGGCGACAGAAATGACAATGCGTGGCCCTGGTCCACCACGGCGCACCGCCTGCTGCTACGGGATTTCTTCTGCCCGACTCAACGGTGCGACTCCTGCGGATCGTGGATGCATCGAGGCCCGGTGGGCCGACATTGCATCACCTGCCAGAGGTTGGCCAACCCGTGGGGCTACAGCGAAGGCGAGCAGCAGTCGGGCGACCCCCACCAGGTTCACCCCCGCGCGGAAACAGGCCAGCCACTCAACAGGCACGCCCTCGACCTCCTTGATAGCACCCTGCAACTTCAGCTGGTCAGGGCAGGCGTGCGATACGCCCCAATCGCAGAGCATCTTTACTTTCCAGCTCAGCTGGGCCCCACGGATTTTACCCCGACCTGGCTCGTGGGCGAGCTTCTGGGAGCCTGGAGGCGCATGGCGCCCCAACCCGACACCTGGGCCAACAGCGGCTTCATCGACAGAGCGGACATTGGAGATGAGATGCAACTGTGCCCAGCAGTGGCCACCCTTGCGCTGCTTTGCTCCGCGCCAGAGTCCTGGGCCCTTGAGGCCTGCTTAGGAGTATGCCGAGTCCTTAGGACGTGCCCCGATGGGCGGCTTGGCGGTTGGTTCCCACCGCAGCTCTATCGCGAAGATCCAATCGCGCACCCACCACCGCACTGGAGGGGTCCCCCAATGAACAGGCCAACCACGACGATCACCATAGGGCCGAACACATTTGTGGACCTGGATGATCTGAGCTGGCTGAACAACACCATTGGCGGCGACTACCTCGACCAGGCAATGAGCGATACCCGAAACGACGTGGACCTGAGTAGGCGCTGGTGGCACGCCAGAGACAGCCCCCGCGCTCAGGCAGCTGAGGTTATGAGAGGTGCGCTACAGGCCGCAGCCCGCACCGATTGGCGCCCGCTACATGCCCAAATGGGACAAGGGACCCCCCTGGGAAACCTCGTTACAGATGCCGTCATCCGACGCGTAGGTGCAGACAGCTGGGCTCGAGATCACGCACGCACGGACCGACCCAGTGGCGGAGGCACTCCCATGGACGTGGGCGGCCCCAGGGATGGCGGAAGAAGCTCTAC